TAATTATCTTTAATGTGACACATGCGTCCTTAAGCGTTGGTACTATAATAATTGTAATTTGCTGCATTTTCTAGACAGTAGATATATCAATAAGCTATTAAATTTTTATTAGTCAAACCGTGTCGTTGGGCCCGGCTTTAAGCTACCGTGCAGGTACCACAGAAAAATATTTATTAGTCACTTATGTTTAAGTATAATTTTACTATTTCTCTTTACAAAGAATTTTATATATATGTGTGTATATATATATATTTATGTACTTAAGTACGTTTACACGCAAAAGGCAACAGGTATTGGCAATCAGAGTGGTAAAACTAGAAAAACAAGATTTTTGGTGAAAAGAAGTTTTTAGAGTGTGATATTTGGTAAATCCGCAGAAAAATGTACTATAGTTTAGTATACTTTTAATGCTTCATTTTTCCCTACGTATGGTGATTTTCTTATTTGCTTTTCCGAAATTAAATAACGTGTTTTTTTTTTGTATTCAATAAGTACGTAAAGCGCAAATTGCAATTTAATAAGAAACTACTTTAACCTAAGTTCAGGTGATATCGACGGTAGGTTAGGACAGAAACCTCTCAAAATAGAAGTTGTCATGTTTTTCCATTTATTTTTCTTCTTTAATTTTATATATTTTGATTTTCGGAAATAGAAAATCGAACTCGGTCCCTGGCAAAATTTTTTTTGTAGGTACGAAGCGCAAATTGCAATTTAATAAGAAACTACTTTAACCTAAGTTCAGGTGATATCGACGGTAGGTTAGGACAGAAACCTCTCAAAATAGAAGTTGTCATGTTTTTCCATTTATTTTTCTTCTTTAATTTTATATATTTTGATTTTCGGAAATAGAAAATCGAACTCGGTCCCTGGCAAAATTTTTTTTGTAGGTACGACCCTGACGACCATTGTAACCCCACTTGTAATGTATCACCAGAAGAAGACCAGACATAGGAGGAATAACTTAAGAACGATTTTGACATTTAATAGGGGTTGATATTATTGATGAAAATTCATATTTTTATTTTTAATTTTCCCATTACAAATTACCTAATGAGAAAAAATTGTTGCTGTTGTCACACCCTCGCCGGGAATCGAACCCGGAACCTTTAGCTTTACGCACCAATCCTCTGTTCACTTCGGTGAGGGTGTGACAACAGCAACAATTTTTCCTCATTAGGTAATTTGTAGTGGGAAAATTAAAAATAAAAATATGATTTTTCATTAATAATATCAACCCCTATTAAATGTCTAAATGGTTCTTATAGCATTAATATAGTTACTTAGTTCGACAGATTTGTGACCTAATAACTACGGTTTATCGTTGTTACTGTTGTCACCTCTCATAGCTTAGTGGTCAGAGCATTGGTGCGTAAAGCCAAAGGTCCCGGGTTCGATCCCCGGTGAGGGTGTGACAACAGCAACAGTTTTTTCTCATTAAGTAATTTGTAGTGGAAAAATTACAAATATGAATAATTTAATCTGAAGCGAGTGAGTCTAAAAACCATCATCATAAATAAAGAATAGAAAAGGAAACGGTCCGCTGCGCAATGGGAAACTGCACATCAATTGTCAACTTGTCGCACCGTACATTACATGCATAGTCGCATTATCCTATTACACTCGCCGCTACTGAAATACACAAATAGTAATTTGGACTCAAAATTAGTTGTTTCATGGCTACGGCTTTATATACCTTCGTCAACATGATCATTATAAATTAATGAGATCGTGATTTTTTATACAATTATCATTAACAAGGTAGAGGAAGTATAAGCTCCTTTTACTGTTCCCATACCTACTCAGAATTTTATGCGTGACCCTAATTAATCGAACTCAAGGTTAGTTAATATTTTATTTTTCCCAGAGCAATAAAATTATTTTATGTAAATAATGTCCTTTAATATCATTTTTCCGTCTACTTAAACAAAACTACCATGAACATTGTAAAGACCGTTTCTGTCGACGCCATTATTAAACTAACCACGCGTACCTAATTTTCGGCTTGTTGGCATAGGAATCTATATTTTACTTTTTGTCTTTTGAGTTTGTATTTATAAATTTACTTACTGTTGAAATTAATTAGATGAAAAGTTGTTAGGGCGAAAGAGAATTTTGTGTAAAAATATTTTTAACGTAAACTATTGTCAGGTGGCTAATGGTATAATCCATTGATGGACATTCCTAAACTTACCGAAATAAGGATAAATGTTAATACCTGCTAGGAAGTACCTATTTCATGGTAATCTAATAAAAATACGTATCTACATTACTGAGAACATATACGTACTTGATAATAAATTATTATTAAATGGGCTATTAGTTTCGAAAATTTAAGTCTAATTAATATCAAATTTGGAGATTGTCATTTGAAATTACCTTTATTAATTTTCTACATTACGAATATTTAACATTTAAGAAAGAGATATTAATGAAGGTAAT